GCCCTACGTGTCCAGATGCTAAGTGTTGCGGCTGTGAGATAGGGATGTTTTAACAAAATGTAAAGGCTCTCCGTTTCCTGCCTTTAAATGTTTGTACTTTGTCTCCATGAAAAAATAGACAAATTTACTCTTGAAAAATAATCCCATTCTTCTTTTATACAGAAGACTGATTATAGAAATGGTGATGAGTTTGCAGTTCTATTTGATAAACATCTTTCCCCATCATTTTATTTTTTTCTGGGGGTGTCTTGTTTGGTCAGCCGGCTGTATAACACATGTAGAAACTCATTACTATGCTTAAGAGTATCCAAACCAGACTGCGAGTTTCACATATGTATTCCACTTATCCATGGAAATTTCCCTGTGTCCGGAACGGAATGCACACTCTCCCTAGAGGCACCACCCTTCTTGTCAATTCCAGAGAATATTGAGTGCAGATTGACATAAAGCAAGGCTTGGGGACCCCACAGTGTGCATTGGTTTGGGGTATTGCTGGAATTCAGCCAGCTTAAACCGCATAGAAGCACTGTCATTGAAGCACTGTCTGACAAGCTTCCTGCTGCTTGTCCAGCTAGGATCACTCTACCCACTAGGGTTTTGGCTTACAAGGAGCTGAGTGGGAAGAATCTCTGCCTCCAGTGACAGGTCTGGCCCTCCCAAGTCCTGCCAACGAGCTAGGCTGGCTGACCTGTCATCCACAGTGCTCTGGAGTACTGAAAGCCCACCTGGCTCAGGAACCACACTACTGCCACAGAAGATTTATTCCATTCCGACATTCCTTTGCCAAGCATTTGACCTTGAAGCTACTTAAGCACCAAGGAAGTATTGCTTACCTCTCCCTCCCCCCACTCAAGTTTTTTTTAGTTATTGCAGAAAATAGGCTTCCAACTTAAGAATGAATTTAAGACCATTTCCAAAAATTCTGCATGATCTTTCAAGTCACTGTATTGATATCAGCAACATGAGGTACAACAAACAGGCTTTGGATATCTACATAACTGCAGTAATTCTGATCAGATTGATCTCTTGGTAAAAAGACGTCAGCAAATTTATCGAGACCTTTCTCTTCGATTGTGCCTTTGGTCGCCCTCCCACCTCTCTGCCTTCCCTCACCCCTATACCACCCCTCCCCCATGCTCGGGCCCTGACACCTGACTGTTCAGCGCTTCGGGATGTCCTCCCGACGTGAAAGGCGCTCTATAAATGTAATTTTGTTGTTGTTGTTGAGTAGCTGAGTTTTATGGTTGTAAGGTGCCAGATTTGATTCCCAGTTTGCTGATCTCAGCCAGAGCAGAATTAGAGGTGGTACAGTTGGCCTCAACGCCCAAGTTAGGGTGGGGAAAACAGCTTCTGACTGCTATCCAGCCCAGCCCTAACAGAGATCTATATATATGGATTCACTGAGGACAGAATTAAGCTTGATTATGAAATTAACATCCTCTGCCCCCCCCCACCACCACCACCATGCTAGCAATTGTTGACACTTCCTGTTCAGGAGCACACATGAATAGTGGATATTGAGTGAGGAACCAAAGGGTAAGAAGAGCCCAAGTTTCTGTATCAACAACAAACAAAAAGTTATATTTGTAGAGTGCCTTTCATGTCGGGAGGATGTCCCAAGGCACTGGATGTATCCTGTAAAAGAAAAAAAACAGGCTTACATTTTCAGGAAAGAGGGAAGAAAATCAACAAGAGGCAATAAATGAGAGTAAATTCGAAAGCAGATGATTGCTCCCTGAGACTTTCAGCGGTGGACTTAATAGATCACATTCAGCAATCTTGAATATACAAGTGTAAATGTAGAACTATGAACATCACTTGCCCCAAGTGCAAGAACTTTCTCTTAAAATTCCAAAGGTCACAGATCCAGAGTGGATGACATGCTCAGTGTACTTTTTCTGATGTTGCGTGTTTGGCTATTTTCGCCAGCAGGCACTATTCTCCCAATTGGATGCTGAATACTGATTTGGAAGCAGATTGTGAACAAACTTCCCCCAATGAGTAGGGAGTAGTCTCCAGCAGCTTTTTGTTTCCTGGACTAAGCATCTTGAGCTGATGAATTGACTCACTGTCCTCAATTCCTTCATTTACTGTAGAACTTGGTGGTCCTTGCGCGATAGCCATAGTAACACTACTCTCCTGATGTCATCTGAAGTGCTGTGAAAATTCCCTTGGATAAAGGACAAAATAGTGCATAGTGCCTGATAAAAATGCTTTGGCAGGATATAAAATAAACAAATGAGGACTAATGAAAGGCCAATGTATGTTCTTTTAATTCAGCAACCTTTTACTGGCTCCAAACGGACACCTCCTGAGCAGTAATTCTCAAATTGATTACTATGTACTATGGTAATGATTGCAATTATTCATTAATAAATTAGGAACTAAGCAATGGTGGAGCTAATTGTTTGAACATTAGCAGTGTTGAATTACAGTGAACATGTTTGGCCTGAGCCCAGAGAAAACAGTTTCCGAACAAAGCATCTCTTTAGGAAGGGTCTCCAATTGTAAAAGGACAATTTCAAGCTTGTGGTACGACCTGTATAGGATAAAGTCAGCTATAATTATAATAATCCTTGCATTTGACATAGCGCTTTATTACATCATTGAGACGTCTCAAAGCCCTTTACAGAATATACTGTAAAATGAATTGCCTGTATCAATCAAAAAAAGCAATCAATCAAAAATGTTTTGATTGATTTACTGTATATTTGTTTGAGGGCATTTGAGTGGTCAAATGCCCCCTCGGTGGTCTCCCCTCTCTACAATTCACAAAATTCCAACTAATTCAAAACTCTGCCGCCCGCATTCTCACCTGCACTGAACTCTATACCTTCATTACCCCAATCCTTATCAAACTCCATTGGTTCCCTGTCACAGTGGATCGATTTCAAGATCCTCACTCCTGTGTTTAAATTCCTTCACACCCTGGCAGCCTCCCATCTCTCCAACCTGCCCTCTCCCAACCTGCTACCTTCACTCGACTGGCTCCTGCCTCCTCCTTGCCCCTTGGAACCTCTGCCCCACCATCGGTGACTGTGCTTTCAGCCACTACGCTCCGAAGCTGTGGACCTCTCTCCCTCAATCCCTACGCCATGCCCCGTCTCTCCCCATTTTCAGGTCGCGCTTCCTCCCCGTGGCTCGGCTTAGGGCTCCACTACTAAGCGCTCCGAGAAGCCTCTGCCGTGAAGGGCGCTATATAAATGCAAGTTGTGTGAAATGCGACAGCCAATTGCCCACAGCAGTGTCCCACAAACAATGTTTTTTTTAGTGATTTTGCATTGGCAGCAAAAATACCACAGCTTTTATAAACCAAATAACCTGTGAGCAGTTGTAAATGAAAATCGTTAAACTATATATTTTAGGTGAGCGTATATGTAGCTCAATATTTACTTCTTTATAAAAATACTGTACTTCTATATTCATAGGAGGATGGTAACAAAGGGAGGAAAAAAGCCAAATGCTTGCACTGTAATGTTACAAATATTGGACTGAAATAAAAACACATTGGTTGCTGAATTCCACCTATGTTGCTATATTCAGTGAAAATAGCAAAAAAAAGATTCCTGATTTTTTTTAGNAAAAAGCATCAGCTTTCCTTGGTTAGTAATACTGTACTCTCACTTCTGGAAAAGAAGTTATTGGTATAAGCCCATGACAGAATTTGCTTATGGTCTAGGCTGGGAAGTCCTTCATTCTCACAGTTGACATCTCTTTGATGAGGAGTTGTACTCTACGGTACCCACATGTTGCTGACGTTTTTAACGCTTGTGAAGATTGAACAATTAAAATATATTTCAGGTGGTCAAGTGGATGCAAAGTGGTGTAAGGAAAACTAAAGATTGTCAAGTGTATGCTTTTTTTGAGTCTACTGAATATATCTGTGGTATAACTAGTCTAATTGAAATGTGTTTGGTCTTTTTTGTATTAAACTATGTTTTTGCTTTTAATGTTGTTTCTTTTAACAATAAAAACATGCACATGGTCAACATTTTTGTTTGTTTGTCAGTCTGGGAAAGGCCAGGGAGTGTTACAAAAAAGAATAAGGATGTGGATGGTGGAGGGATGGCAATAAGGAATAAGGAAGACCTGCCCCCTCCTGGGAAAGAATCAAACAAAAAAGAGGGACCCATTGATTTGAAACTCACTCCTACCATTAAAACAAACACCGACAACAGCAACAAAATTACATTTGTAAAGTGCCTTTCACGTCGGGAGGATGTCCCAAGGCGCTGGACAGACAGAGTTACAGACCCGAGCTGGGGGTCGGGGTGGGGGAGGGTGGAGGGCACAGGCGGAAGCAGGGAGATCGAAACCACAGCCAGGGAGACTAGATAATGGTTGTGCGCTCAGAGTCCCTGACTTGCTTGATATTTTACGTTTCCCGAGCACTGACATAAGAATGTTATCAGTCTGGGGTACCAAGCACTCAGTATGTTGGTCCCCAACTGCAGAATTAGCACTGAACTGAAATAAAACATATCTGAAGACTGCACTCTCAGCAGGGAGCTGTTTCACACTTTCAAGTCTCGTATGTGACTAAGATAACCACAACTAAAACTACGGGATCAATGGGTTAAGCACCACGTATCCTGCTATATAAACTGTAAATGGAATGTGTTTAGGTTCAGTTACTACTTTGGGACGGAATACAATAGATACATCTCAGTTGCCATTCTCTGAGCCAAACTCTGTTGACTTGCTATTTGCACTTTGGGGTCAATTTCAATGCATCAAACGTTTCTTGGAGCCCTTTTGCTTTGCTTCATGATGAATCAACCCATGTAAACCAATCCTTTCCAGGAGAACAGGATTTTACACAAAATTATTTCTTGAACTCCTTAGCGCTTGCAAGGTAAAATAAATTGTTCCTCTTCTCCCCCTTTTTTGGATCAGTACTGCATATACTGAAGTGAAAATATTGTTGTAATGAGAGGGGAGGGGAAACTCTCTTTACATTATCTGTGTGTTGATATTTCGACACTTGTTCTTTGTTTCAGGTCAGTCTGTCCGTGAAAAGAGAATGGTAGAACCTGCCCACTCAGAAGAAGTTGAATTTGGAATAGAAAATATTCCCACTGAATGGGAAGGTAAGAGAATACACGGATCCCTCCTGGGTGAATGAATGTCCATTCAGACTCATGGTGACAGTGTTTGGTTCTCTTTAGGCACGAATCGAAAGCTGCCCAGGATTTTGTTTGAGTTTTCTTTTTCATGTTCTGCTCACTATCTGTAAATTTGTTGTCATAATCCACGACTGCTGGGCACAATTGGCTGATGCATTTCCCCACAAACTATACAGTTAATTCACTTTACAGTATATTCTATGAAGCTCTTTGAGCCGTCGCAACGATATGGTGGTGTATCAAATGCAAGGACTATTATTCATAATGGTGCTCCTTAAAACTGAGGAGTCCTAATAATGGTAATTACTTCAAAGATAGGGAGGTAGTTTCTGAATTAATGTTTCCTTTAAGTCTATACCAATAGACAACAATTTTTTCCTGCAGACCAAGTGATGATTTCAACTCTACTCAGCTCCTGAATGAAATGCATACAGTGAACAAGAGAAATTCCACCTGGATCTAGATTTACTCCCATCTCTTAACAATAACAACAACAAAATGACTTTTGTAATAGCGCCTTTCATGTTGGGAGGTGCTATTTCAGAGTCCTGAATTTGGCAAGTTCTTAAATACAGTTTTCATTTTGAAACAGGTTTTCTGTATGTTCCTTTAAAAAATTCTCTCTCAAAATATAAAAACTAAATGTTATGAAATGACAAATCCATCCAGAGATATTTCAAAAAATATATACAGTGTATTACAAGTAATATTGAGTCCCATGCTTGACTGAAATCTCCGACCTTGAATTCTTAAGCCTTTCATCATCTGGGAGTGTATCCCATTGTGGAACCTGTATCTAACGCTAATGCAATGGTAAAAATGGCAGTTTCTAGACAGATTTTCTTAGAATTGGGCAATGTGTAGATGAAAACATTTGGAACACTCTTTGTTCTTTGAGAGAGAAGAGCTGTGGGTCACTTTGATTGTTGTAACAAATGTTTCCACCCAGTGGTGAGTGAGGCAGAAATGGACATGGCAAACCGGAAGCTGTGCTACGGTGCTAAATCGCTTGAGCTCAGATCCCCAGAAGCAGTACTGACACTGTACAGAGCTCTGGTCAGGCCGCACCTGGAGCTCTGCATACAGTTCATGTTGCTGTGACATAAGGGGGCTGCCCCAGGCCCTAGAGGAACAACATTTCATGTCTTCAAAATCAGTCCCTACTGACCATGCAGTAGAACGGTACTCTCTGACTTATCTGGGTGTATTTGTGATTGGTCTGCAACTTAAAACAGTGAGCGGAATCAGATCTTTAGTGCCCGCTGGCTGCCATTTTTCTGATGAAAAACTGGTACGAAACCAAATGTTATATTTTGGCCATTGTATCGTGAGGCATTAGTTCTAACTGAAGAATTTTCTACGTTGCCCCGAGTTTTGTACTAAGCAAAGCAAAGGCTGAGATTTTCTGTGTTATCTGCTCAGTGTGGCATGTAGGAGAGGCTAGAAAGTGTGGCTCCGCTGTGGGGACTCCCCTTCCTCTAGGGCTGCCCGGGTCAGCCTCCCAGCTGGCAGTCAGCTCCACTGCACATTATATTGGAATGTGCGGTCACAGTCACAGTTCCATCCCTTCGCTCCGCCCTCCCCCTTTCAATCTCTACAGCTCAGTCAGGCGAGTACACAAGGGGATTTACAGTCCCACTGGAAGTCTAATAGATTTACTTGATTTTCTTGAACCAGTGGAGCAGAATGTCAAACAGAAGCATCATAAAGGCACAATTAAGCCAAGACAACAAATTTATCCTCAAGGTTTTATCTTGCTTTTCAGAGAAACAATGGAGCCTGCCATCGTCTACGTCTTTCCTAAATCTAGATATGATTCTTCTTAGATTTGTTTACTTCTATCCGTTTCTATAAGAAGTCATTTATTGCTTTTAGGCACACTTAAATCATAATGCTCCACATTCACATTCAAAATTCTTATCAATCAATCTTCTATTTGATTGCTACTTCCCGAGTGAGATTGTTTAGGAGTGTTAAAGGCCACTGCACAAGATCAAGATTTAGGTGTCAACCTGGCTCAGTTGGTAGCACTTTTGCCTTTGAGTCAGAAGGTTGTAGATTCAAGCTCCATGTCAGGACTTTAAGGTTCCAGTCGAGGTTGAATAAGCTGGATTTAGTACTTACTCAGGAGTTTCCTTTACTTGAGATTTTTTACGCCTATGATTTCCACTTATGTGTATATTGCTGTTCCTTAATTTCCTCAGAATATTTATACAGTAGGATGAGAACAGAGTTCAGAAGCGAGTGCTTTTTGTACACTTTCCTCTCCATTTGAAAAAATATAATTGACATCTAAATGGATGAAATTCTGAAAATGATATTCTGAAAAGCATATTGTGTACTCTTAGAATTAATTTCTATCTCATTAATCCTTATCCAGTGCCTTGGGACATCCTCCTGACGTGAAAGGCGCTATACAAATGTAATTTTTTGTTGTTATTTACATTATTCCATACAAACGACAGCTACCTAAATGGAACATTATCAAGCTTGTAACAGAGTAGTTCTTCCTTAGTATTATTGTAAATACGAGCTTATTCTTGTAATGAGGTAATTTGGGTTTGATTCCTGAGCAGGGCGAACGTTGGGCAAATTTCCTTACTACACATGCCTCTGTTTACCTACCAGTAAGTAAGAACCCAGTTATTAGTTCATTGGCGGATCACTTTTCCGGTGTGCAATTGGCTGTTGGGTTTCGCCCACCAAATATACAGTAAATTCACTTTATAGTATTTTGTGAAGTGCTTTGAGATGTCTCAAAGACGTAATCAGGCACTATATCAAATGCAAGGATTATTATTGATGTATAGAAAGTCAGGATGGACAAAAAAAATTGCAATCTGGTGAAACGATAAGGAAGGAGGGTGGACATGATAGAAGATCCATATTAGAGCTATTTAATCTCAGAAGCAGCCTCACTCTGTACTAACCTTTCTCTCTTTTCTTTAGAAGTAATAATATTAATTGCGCCAAATTGCAAGAGAGGTATCTTCAATTTTCTTTTGACCCATTGTTGACTGCTGGTCCTGTAATTGTGATTCAGTGTGGTCATCTGCACATTCAAGGAGTACAGATCCCATTTAACACTATGGGTTATGTCAGATCAGCTTCTAAAAGGAAATTCTCCAGAGTGCCTGTGGAGGTTTAGCAATTGTGTTGTGCACCTAGCATGCTGATGTCACCTTGGCCCTTCGGTGTAACATTTTGATTACAATGCGGTTTTAATTTGAGTGCTCAATTTTATGCTCATTACAATGTATTCTGCACCAGTCCGCATATTAAAGCTTGATGCAAACCTCATACATACTAATAAGCATGCAAATTAAAAAGTGAACAAAGAGTGTTGAAGTCTGGAGGTATGCTGATGGAATGACCTACAGTAGCATGCGATTTTGAAGAATGGTTGTTTTTAATCATTTTAAAAAGGCTTATGTTTAACTCTCTAACCCACAAAAGCTCTTTTCCATTGAAGTGCTTCTCATTGCCAGCTACTTGTTCCACAAAAGGAAATTTGAGCGTTCTGCTAATTTTGCCATGAAAGCATTTGAGACGACCCCTATGTGACATAGAAAGTATGGTTGAGATAGTTCAAAACGATGCGTGCAGCAGATATTAAAAATGAATGTGTTCTGTCATCTACTTGAAATGCTGTTGAAAGTGTGAAATCCTGTTACAGCTCCTTTCACTTGTTTAATCAGTGATTCGGTTGGTTGCAGACTGGTGCTGTACGGCCTTAAATTCCAGACGGCAGATTTCTTCCTTTCTGACCATGCTGTCTGACTTTTTTGGGGGGGTTATGGCTCCATGGACATCAACAGCCCCTCCAGTCCTTTGCCCAAATGACCATACTTTATCTCGGAGTTCAGACAGTGGGTCGTGGTCAGGCCATTTAACCGTAGACTGTATTACAGGGAATAATAATAATAATAATCCTTGCATTTGATATAGCGCTTTTCACGTCGGGAGGACGTCCCAAAGCGCTTCAATCCTGATCCAGTTCTCATCGGTTCTCCACACACATAATTCAGTAGCAATCGCTGGATAACAAGTAGGAGCTCTTGTTCACTCTCTCGTCATTGTTCATCTGTTGGCAAACTTGACAGTCAATTTTGTACACAGCAGTGCCCCACAACCAGCCATGAACTGTATGATCAATTTCTTACCTGGGGGAGTTGGTGGCCAGGACACTGAGAGAAACTCTCTTCTCTTTTTGTATAGTCCCATGGGATCTTTAATATCTATCTGAACAGGCAGATAAGACCTTGGTTTAAGGTCTCATCCGAATGGTGGCACCTCTGACAATGCGCCACTATAATATAACATATATATGGCACCGCCTTCCATCACCTCCGAAAGATCGCCAGACTATGGCACTACCTCACCCCTCACACTGCTGAAACCCTGGTCCACGCCTTTATCACCTCAAGGCTGGACTATGGGAACTCTCTCCTCGCCGGCCTTCCCGCCACCTCCCTCCACAAGCTGCAGGTCATTCAGAACTCTGCAGCTCGTGTACTGTCCCGCACCAGGCTTCGGGACCACATCACTCCCACCCTCGCTCGCCTCCACTGGCTCCCCATCCCCCAGAGGATCGAATTCAAGATCCTCACCCTCACCTACAAGGCCATTCACGGCCTTGCTCCCTCCTACCTCTCTGACCTACTATCCCCCTACCTGCCTGCCCGTACCCTCAGTTCCTCTGGCTCCAGTCTGCTCCACATCCCCCGCCCCAACCGCCCTACCATCGGTGGCCGGGCCTTGAGCCTCTCAACCCCGAGGCTCTGGAACTCTATCCCCCAGTGCCTTCGCCGCTTCCTCCCTTTCCTTCTTCAAGGCCGGTCTCAAGGCCTTTCTCTTTGACCGTGCCTTCAGCTCCCCTCTCGACTCTCTACCCCTCCTCGCTCCCTCCCTTCCCTCCCCTCACCCTGACCGTTTCCCCACTGCTCGGGTCCCGTCCCAATTGTCCAGTGCCTTGGGACGTCCTCCCGATGTGAAAGGTGCTCTATAAATGAAATCTTGTTGTATAAATAATGATGATAATAATAATAAATCCTTGCATTTGATATAGCGCTTTTCACGTCTTCGAGACGTCTCAAAACGCTTTACAGAATATACTTTAAAGTGAATTGACTGTTTATTTGTGGGCAAAAAACACAGCAGCCAATTGCACACAGCAGTGTCCCACAAACAGTCGTGGATTGAGTAACCAAATTATTTATTTGTTTATTTTTTCTTGAGGGATTATTATCAGGCGAGTTGAGTGAGGAAACTTGCTCAAGGTTTTGGCGTGCCGGGAATCAAACCCAGATCTCTCATTTGCGAGGCGAGTGCTCTAACCACTGAGCTACAGGACTCCACTGCAATTAGATTTCAGAACAGAATAAATGAGCAGCCTATTTCCTCCCAGAACTCCAGAGATACATGGTGAGACATAATGAAGAAGTGGCGCTCAATTTATAAAATTAGCAATTACAACTGAAGAGTTACTATTGTCTAACTTTCTCTAGAGTGTGATGTACAATTAATATAATAATAATAATAATCCTTGCATTTGATATAGCGCTTTTCACGTCTTCTCGACATCTCAAAGCGCTTCACAGAATAGACTGTAAAGTGAATTGACTGTATATTTGTGGGCAAAACGCTGCAGCGAATTGCGCACAGCAGTGTCCCTCAAACAGTCGTGGATTGAAAATGACCAATTTATTATTGTTTTGTTTTGAAGGGATGATTATTAGGCGTGTGGGGTAAGGAAACTTGCCCAAAGTTTCGCCCTGCCTGGAATTGAACCCAGGTGTCTCACTTGCAAGGCCACTGAGCCACAGAACTCGACCTGTTCTCTTGTTTTTTTGCTTTGTTTCTTAACATGACAACAACAACAACAGCAACTTGGATTTATATAGACTAGAGTTGAAATACAGTGAAATACACAATACATATTTAACAGAAAAATAAACTGATTTGATTATTTAGTGAAACATTCACCCACACACCCCCACATCATCCTTGGGCAGATTTTTCACAATAGCATTGCTATTGTCTTTCTCCATCTGGAGATTGTGAGCACCACTTCACATTAGGTTGCCAACACTCCACCATCAATTAGTAAACAACAGGTATGTAACACAGGTAGAGTTTGTTTTTCAGTTGATGCATTCCTCTGCTATATCCTAAGGTTTAATTCCGGTGTGATGTGAACCCACGATTATCATGGTCATATTTAAGTGTATGATTCATCAGTTTTAACTGAGGCACTGTTGTGTCTTAGTTGGTTTATACTCACTATGGGTACCAAATGTTACAGGTAAAATACAGTATTGTTCGAACAAGAATTTCTGAAGATTTCGTGCACTAGCTTTCATTCTTGTTCTAAGACAAATAGCAAATAATTGAGACGTATGATGACATTTAGTAATTATGACTTTCTTATCCTTTTATCAGCTTGGGTCCGAGGACGGAGAAAGGAACCACCCACTATGGAGGTATGTTAACCTTCCAAATAACAATGTCTATAAATAATAAATCATGTATCCAAAAAGCATAAATAGCATGTATTTAAGTGTGTTATTGTGAATTCCTTCCTGTTTAAGTACTGTAATTCCCTGTATTTAGTGCTTGAAGTAAACTATGAAGTTCCAAAGACAGGATTCACAAATAGAAAACTCTTGAGTCGCAAATATCAGATCTTGCCAGGAGCCAGATTTGTGTTACATTGAACGGTAGAAACTAGATTGCACAATGCATTTGGTTCAGTATGACGTACCTCAGGAGATAGTAATTGCATCATTTTCAGCCCATGTGTATATACATGTATATATATATCGATGGGAAGGATAATTTACCCTAAATTTGAACCCATTTTAGGAAAACAGAACCTGGAGGCCATTTAGCCTATCAACCTGTTCCAAGCAAAGGAAACTTTCTCTGTACTGTATTAAGTGTTTAAATCAAAAATTGGTTGGTACAGGCTCAATAGTGGCCAAAGGAATTGAGTTCAATGCTTGGCAAGTTTTCTGTGCTCAAGTAATAAAGTTAAGAAACAAACAACAAATGTTATCATCCTTAAGTAGGATAATATCTTGGAACATCTTGGTCAGATGCTGAGCAATGGCAAAGGGACGGTGACCCTAAACGCATTCAAAGAGAGAGGTTTTCTGGTGGGATTTAAAGATAGATAAGGGGGTGAGGTGGAGGAATTGAGGCAGGGAGTTCAAGATTAGGAGCGTAGTATCTGAATTCAGCTTCAAAACCAAGTGAGTCCAACAACGTTTCAAGCTTTGAGGACTGGCTACAAGTCTGGAAAATGATGGTTTACTGAAATAATTGCTGAATTCACAGCAACCTGTTAGAGGAACAAGAAGTTACTAATATACCTACCTCATTTACGTGTGGCACTAACTGCCTATTAAAAAAATCTTGTCATCCAAAAGCAATTTGCTAACTGTCTAGCTGCTTTCTTGCAATGAGCATTTCACTTCAAGAAGCTTTACAAAAATATCTGCTGCTTGTGCAGGAGTTTGCCACGTAAACCCAGAGCAACACTTGCAGAAATGTTAATTCTATTCTGAAAAGATGAGATCAAATGGGACGAAGGGCTTTCTTTAACCTCTTTTGTGATCTTGTTGTGACTAAGGTAAGAAAAGTTCTTTTAATTTCCTATTTGACTTTAAATTTCGCCCACAAAATCTGCTTGAAACATTTTGAGATGCCACAACAATGTGATAAGGCGCTATATCAAATGCAAGGATTGTTATTGTTTATTATTAGATTCAATGCATTTACCTTATTCCATCTTTTTGTTGAACTATCTTGATCCAATCTTTTTGTTTCACCGAGGGTGTTTTGGTTTCTTCTGCAGTTTTCCTGACCAACCTTTCTTCATCTTTGTTCCTTTTGCTTATTTCTGTATTTTTTTCTCTGCCAGTAATATTTGCCCCATTTTCTGTTTTTCCATATTTTATTTTGTTTATTTTTCTGCATTTTTTTACATTTCTCACAGTAATGCTATGAGACAGCCTCTTGATGTGAAAAGCATTATAAAAATGTATTGTAAGTTCAATTGTTCTAGGTTTGAAGTTCACCTAAAATAAATCCACGTAAATAAATTACTTGCAGTAAGTAGGGTTGGTTGCTAGTAGATTGGCGGATGGTTTTCCGGGGGTAATAATCTCTTTAAAAAAATGTTAACTCAATCCATGACTATTGTGGGACACTGCTGTGCACAATTGGCTGCCACGTTTTGCTCCCAAAATATACAGTCAATCCACTTTACAGTATACTCTGTGAAGCGCTTTGAGATGTCTCAGCAACGTGATAAGGCTTATATCAAATGCAAGGATTATTGTTATTATGTGCCTTACTGTTTATTTGTCAATAGTTTGTTTTAAAAACGAGGAAGAAGTTGCTTTGATATGTTTATAATAAAAATAATACTAATCCTGCATTCATTTAATATAGCGCTTTATTGCATTGGAAGGACATCTCAATGCACTTCACAGGATATACTGTAAACCGGATTAACTGTTCAAGATGCCAGTTTGCTACCTCAGTGTCCCGCAAACAGTCGTGGAGTGAGTGGCTAATGTTATTCAGGGATTTGTTGGCCAGGACACTGGGAGAAACTCCCTTCTCTTTTCGAATAGTTCCATGGGATCCTTAACGTCCACCTGAATGGGCAGAAAGGAACTTGATTTAATGTCTCATCTGAAGGACATATTAAATGTTCTTAAATATGTCCACTGTTCTGTCCTCACCACCTTCCTAATAATGTGGAATTCTCTCTGTATATTGGTATCTGCCCTCAAATTACAATACAAAATTACATGTGTCGGGAGGACGTTCCAAGGTGCTGGATAGTCAGGGATTTGGACTCAAGCTGGCGGCCAGGATTGGGGAGGGTGGAGGGTAAGAGGGTAGCTCGATCGAAGAGGAGGGTAGCTGCATATTAACTATGTTAAGTCACTCAAGTGATGTATAACAACTTGCATCTACATAGTGCCGTTCACATGGGGTAGCGTCCCAGAGCGCTTGTACCTAGGGAACGTCGTCAAAGGAATACCAGGTTGGCCCCTTTGGATTCTTTGAGAAGTGATGTGTTGCTGTTTGATCTTGGTTAGGTTCAGGTCCAGTGAGTGTATAACAATACCCAGCCCGTCCACTAGATATGGTTCAGCTCCCAGGCCTGTGGAAAGTTCCACCCACCTAAACGCAATGTAAGCAGCTCTGGTCCAAACCATAGCAAGTTATCAAAATAAGTCAATTGCAGGAAGCAGATACCAATATTCGACTCTTAAACTCGCATTGCTACCAGCAGATGAACAGGTATGCGCAGAGTTCAATGTTCTCTCACACAGTCCCAATGTGCACTGACTACATAGTGTTAATTTTAAAAAAATAAATCAAGATTTTGGTTGTAACAAGTCATAGAAAATATTGCTGATGATCCATTAAACTGCATTAGTTATTTTGAACCCTGGAAAATTCATGTATTTTTACTGATTACACGTTTGTTTTTTAAAAAAGAATAGAGTTTGATTGTGGAATTTTTAATTTGAGACAAAAAATTCCCTACATATAATTATTTGCCTCAAAATAAACAGAAACTATACTTGACAATAATTACTTTAAAATGCTTGGTGATCTTTCGTGCTATAAAAATCCAATTTTCCTTCTGCTTTCTAAATTTGGTCATTGTGAATTTTCAATACGATTTGAAGTCAGATAAAAAGAGGAGTGTGATTGGCCAATAGAGGGCAGTCTTATCAGCTGCTTGGTGAATGTCCTTTGATCTAAAGCATGTTATTTAGTGTCGATGTTCATTTTTTGAACTAAATATTCCACAAGCAAAAGATATATGAAAATTATGCTTTAAATAGTTTGTGATGTTTAACCATATTCAATACATCAGCTTCCATATTGCAGCCGGCCCTGAACAAATCACACTGTATCGTGAAGAACCAAAAATGTTTATGCTGGGTGTTTTGCTCAGTGTAAATTATAAAACAAGGATTTCCAAAAATCCCATTCAAATCTCTTGGATAATCCACTTGGTTAATATAATTGCATTTCTTTTTAATATCTGAGGTGAGATAACATCCACTTGTCAATCAATACCTGTCTCAGTTGATATGCAAGAAGCAGTTTCTAAAACTAAGCTATAAAGTACATGAAGCCTTTTTAAGAATGAATAAACATTTTTTTCTACTTGCATGGAGTACCTCGTACTTATTGTTCTTTCTCTGTCAAGAAATGAACTCAGATAACTCCCAAGACTAGCCTGTACTTACTACAAAACTACATCTCCTAAGGTTCTTAATTATACAGAGAATTTACAGTACTAATCACTGTTGGCAAAGAAATCTATTTGATCAGTTCTTAAGATTAACCTCAATCAGTCGGTACACAAGCCACTGCCGCTAATACCAATGGAAAACATATCTGCCCCCGTCCTCCTTTGAGTAACTAGATTGTATTTAACAATAGCAGTGGATAACATGAACTCAACTTGACCAGAGATATGTGATCATGCCAATGTAACCAGTCTACTGCCAGTGCATGCTCACTGTGCCTACTATGTGCAGAAAGCTTCTACGTACAGTATAACATTGTATTATACATTTTGCTCCAGACCAGTGGTTTTCTCCAGTTACTGGTATTAATGTCTGGAACCGAAAGAGCATTCATTGTGAGCTCTGAATCAAATGCGATGTATTGTAAATGGATTTTTTTAAAAAAACGTTTAGATCGTGTTTGCAGGGCTTTTCCACAGAGCTTGTGCGTCCTCCATTTAAATTATTATCCTCCGTGGGGGAAGGTAAGCAGGATTTCTTTGGGGCTCAGTTAGTTCCAAGGTGATGTGTTTGGCAATGGAATATCAGAATGGAGTCATACCTACGTGGTCTCAGTAGACTGATTGGTAACCAGTCAGTACTCCAAGGCACTGATGATCATGGACCAGCCGCCTGACTGGTTGGCAGGACTTGGGGTTCCAGCCTGGTCACTGGGGGCAGGAATTCTTCCCATTTGGCTCTTGTTAAGCTCAAACCCAAACTCTAATAGGTAGGGTGATCCTAGCTTGATAAGCAGCAGGAAGCTTGTCAGACATGTTTTGCAGTGGCAAGCTAGGCAGTGTTAAACTAGTTAAACGTCAACAGGGCCCCAAAGGAAGGATTGCACAACTAATGCGGAAGCGCTGCCCAGCAGGTTGGGACCCCAATTCATAATATTAATAATAATTTCATGGACCCCAACTACTGTTTTATAACTGGGCTCTAGTGTAGTTAGTGCTTGTTTGTTCAGAGACTAATCAAGTGCCATTTTAACAGCATTTCTGCTTTGAATAGTGGAGGGGAAATTGCAGGGGACAGAATTATCCTACACATCTTGATGATTTCCTGCCCCAAGTACAGCTTGTATCCTGTATATTACTCGGTGGAACTGGTTTACATTCCATACATGTTTTGTTTGTTGCTTTATTTTTCCT